GTAACACCATGCAGTTCTCTGTTATGGCATTTTTGTCCTGGGTGATGTCTTGATTTGTTTCTCAGTTGATTCCTTGTCTTCAGGCAACCATCAATCCTAACCCAGCCTTCATCTGTTGTAAGGATATTTAAAATCATTGCCTTACTTGGGCACGCCATCATTTGTAAGTTGATGAGAAACTCTCCACAGCACAGCATATTCTTCCATATCCCCAGCCAAAGTCTCCCGTGACAACATAGTTTTCCTTTTCACACAAAGGAGAGAGGCACTTACGAAATGAATCACCCTGTTTCATTTGGGGATTCAATGCCTTGATGAAATTACGTGTCAGAGCACATTGTTTGGCTGTTAGTTCTAGAGTGAATGCGATTTTTAGCACAGCTTGCAACCCCAATTCACAATTGCTCTTGCCTATTCCACCTTTACACGTCGGGTTAGACTGGTGAGCTAGCAGTTCTGCGATGTGGCCATGGACATGAAAATATATAATTAACGATGTTTCTTCCTACCCTGAGAATTTCTGTTTCCTCTTGCTCGTTGCCCAGACACAGTCTGCTGTCAAAGCTGAAAATGCTGCCTCTTCCCATCTGTTGTGATATTGGTTCAGCTTGGTCGTGATGCCTTTTCGTGGCTGCTTGAACTCCTTTCCTATAGCATTACTTTTGTACCTTCCCAGCTCTTACAGCTGCTCTCCAAGCTATGAAATCTATACCACTCCCCCCACCAGAGGACCTACAGCATCCTTTCCTTGCTCCTGTCCCAAGAGAAAGTGGCCCAAGCATTTAGAAAATTCGTATCTAAACCACCTCTCACAGTCTCATACGTCCACTGGAAGATTTGCAACGGTGACTGGGCTTCCCTAAAGCTGTCTGTAGCCCATCCAGTTCTCCATGCTGTTTTACTATTGCTCCCAGCATTTATCACCATGCATAGCAGCTTGCCAGATGTTTTCAGGAGTCTGTCCACCTGTGTTCTGTGTTAACTCTGACCTCTCCTCTCAAAAGGAGGTTTCTTAACCATAACCAGAGCATTTGACATACATACTTGATGATCATGTGCAAGTTCTGGGACACTCTGTGCCACAAGTACCTGAGATAGCAATAACCATAAACATATAAAGAGTATGGCCTTCTCAAGAACAAAATGAAGCTTTTGTAGCAGAGGCACAAGGCTTAGGAAAGCCAATCTCCCAGCTCAAAGCTATGAACAAGAGCAACTTTCTATGCAGCTTTGATCTCTCCTACCTCTTGGCTAAGAAACAACAGAATAATAAACAGGTTACCAGGGAACCAAAAGCTGCTCCGGGGAAGGCTGTCAGCATCATATTTAGGTCCATCTAAGGAATCCTGAAACGGGGGAAAGCTAACTCACACAAAGCCGAGTTGTGTGGCATAGGTGACAAAGCATCTTCAGCAGAAGGGTGCTAGGTGGAAAATACAGGACCGTAACTGAACAGACAGACAAATCAGACTCTTTCAGTTCTGAGATGTGATTTAAAAAAGATGGGATCCAGGAATGAGTGAAGGGAGAGAGCAGGCTTGATTGACACAGGGAAGAAGATCTGGGCTACTTAGTGGTTAGGTTGACTGAACCCTCTCTAGAGCCAGTAAGAACACAGAATCAAAGAATCATTTAGGTTGGAAAAGACCTTTAAGATCATCAAGTCCAACTGTTAACCTAGCACTTCCACATCCACGTGGTGAGGTGCAAAGAAGGCAATGCTTCCCCATTCCCTTCTGTGAGGAAATCTGGTAGTCTTCGCCAAGAAACTCAGTGGGCCTGGTCTCAGAGCTACCTTGCCAGGCAGGGTCTTTGAGGACGACAGCTCACTTTCCAGGTGAGTCCTAGGAAACTTCACCAGAGAAGGGGCAGGGGAGGCCACTCTGCATGCCACAAGATTAGAAATGCATTCAGCACAGAGCCAGGGCTCATTTCTGCAAAATGCCTGGCACCGTCTGTTGAAGTCCCTTGCCAAGAGGCTGATCTCAGCACAGGGAGCATGGAGCACAGTGGCCAGAGCAGAGAACTTCATCTCTCACCCCAGCTCAAAGGCTGATCATGTCCCTCAGCACCTCATGGAGGCAGGATGCTCACAAGCAGGTCTGTCTCAGCCCAGGGACAGCTTTTGCCTCAAGGGAGGGTTTTTGCACCACTCCCACTGCTGATAGAAAAGTTGTGCCTGCCCTCACCTAGACACAACAGTCCACGTGTTGCAGGGGGAGAAACCAGAGCAATTGCTAGCATGTTTCCAGACTGCCCAAGTAAGTCTTTGCCAACATGGACTTCTGTAGGGTGGGGAAGCTGAAGTAACCTGCCTAAATATTCAAGGGGAGGACCTCAATGCCAATCCAGAGAGACACGATCCTAAAAGGATGGTCTTGGACACATATTCATGAAGGTCACCAAACAGCAGCTGTGGTCCCGAGATAGATACTGACAGAGGGACTGCCCGGATGGATCCTGCCATGGAACTCCATTCAGTAAGACACATCCGTGCTTGGACTGTACTTGGGCAATAAATGTCCACATTAATACATGAACATTGAATGAGACAGGACTTTGTCCCCTGTATGCCAAGGTCTGCTCTGGTGCACTAAGGACCATACCAGACACAGCTGCAACATGCTCACTGGTTGAGGACAGTCAGCTAGAAAGAGTAACTGACCTCCTCCAGCAGAGTTCATTCCATCAATTCGTCATCTTGATCAAGAATAGGAAAAGGCCCACTCATCTGTGCCCCTGCAACCAAGTCTTTCAGCAAGTTTAGGCCAAAGAAAGATTTTTGGATGGGCTGTGGTCTAAGGGTAAATGAGATATGATTATTCCCTGTGAGATGAATACAGACCATGCAGGTGTTCAGAAGAATCAAGCAGCCAAGACCTGGGTCTTTGTTAGACAATTTCTTCTGATATGTCTTCCTGAGCAGGTGCTGCTGAGAAATGTCCTGCAAAAGGGATGAGGTTAGGGACACGAGAAGCAACACAGCACTGAGCAGTTCCTAGACACCACAGTTCCCAGCAGGGCTCACGGTGGAGAAAAGCAGGTTAGATACTCCCCAAAGAACGGAGAGGAGCCCACAGAGAAGAGTGAAATAGCTGGAAGGTCATCTCATACCCAGCATCAAAGATGTGGGGTCACCACTGTTGGACAGGTAGTTGCAGGGGAGATGGTCCAGCTAACACTGGAGACCTTGGGCTGTGCTTCCTATGCTGAGAAATTACTGAAGCAAAGCATCAGTGTTGTGTGTCCCGGCAGTGAGAGCTCAGGGGCTGTCACACTAGTGGGGGAACGGAGCCTCTTGCTGGTGATACAATTCACCAGAGAAGAGCATCTTGCACACATGGGTGGGGATCTCAGTTTCACTGCAAAATGAAGTTCTGACAAGCAATGTGGGACTGGGGTCCCCACACGTCCCAGTACATGGGTGTCTGGCAGCACCAGCTGTTCCTCTGGGCAGTGACTGCTCACAGCAGAGATGTCGGTCCTTCTGTGCTTCGTGCTTGAAATCTCTCAGGGTATGCGTTCTACAGTCCTGTGGGTTTCTCAAGCTGTGCTGAGCGGCCAAAGAACGCATGTCATGTCTCATGCATGGGGGAAGCCAGACTTCGCCAGCCACTTGCAGAGATCTCCGCAGCAGGGAAAGCGCAGAAAAGGCTGCAAAGACACCTACGGGCAAGGGGATTTGCACGAACCAAAAGAGCCCCCAGGCAGGATAGAAAGCGACCCCTGATCTACTGCGCGCGAGGCATCACCACTCGAAACAAAAGCCCAGATTAAAATAATTCCTCTGTCTCAGGTCTTTTAGGAAGAAAAATACAAAGGGAAGAGGGAAAGAAACTGAAGCAGCGCGGAGGCGAGGCCCATGGCGGAGGCCCTGTCTCAGGGCAGGGCCAGGCACAGGTG